TTCTCAAGCAAGTTCTTAAGCAGTTTTTTTTTTCTTCTTCTTTTTTTTAAAGGTGACATATCATGAAAATCTGTTTTTTCCAGGTTTTAAGTGCTATAATCAGGTCCCCAGTGCATCTACCAACCAAGGAAACGTGAAAAAGATTAACCCAATAACTTTGTTTTGGTAAGCCTTTTTCTGCAAGCGTCTGAGAAAACGAGCGCGTCTGATTTCGCTCCCTTGGTGACGTGGCAAAGGGATCTCATTATAATATTACCGCCCCTTAATCTGTAAGTTTCCACCCACGGCGCCGTCATTTGATTTTGCAAGCCACAACGGTGTAACAGTCCTAAAGCCATGGCGAAAGAAAACATGCTAACTGTTCTGTCTTTGGCTGCACAGACGAGCACAGAACACTGTTTAGAGTCCCAGCCTCAGAGGAGACAAGAGAGCAGTGGATTTATTGATTTATTTACTGTATATTGCTGCTGCCACACAGATATAAAATAAACATGCGATTTATTTCCCAGCTGTTTACCTTCACAGACATAACCAACTGTTTTTGTTGTTAGATTCTTTCATTCATGTGTTTTTAAAGTGTCAGTAAAATGTATTCAAATTTTTTAAAGGGGTCATATGATGCTTTTTTTAAGATCATTATTTTGTGTATTTGGTGTAACAGAATATGTTGACATGCTTTAATGTTCAAAAAACACATTATTTTTCAAATACTGTACATTATTGTAGGTCCTCTATGCCCCGCCTCTCTCAAACGCTTCGTTTTCTACAAAGTCCCTCCTTTGACAAGCGCAGTCTGCTCTGATTGGCCAGCTGACCCAGTGCATTGTGATTGGCCGAACATCGCAAGCACTCGTCGGAAATGTAACGCCCCTTACCATAATCGCGAGCTTCATCTTTCAAAATAAATGTAAAGACAGTAAATAATGTCATTAGTTTTACCATCAGTTCAAGCCCGAAAGGGGAACAGACACAGTAATGATGCAGTACACAAGCCGTGGTTAAGACAGCTGACTCCACTTTGATGTGATGCTGTGTCTCTCTCTCTCTCTCTCTCTCTCTCACGCGCGCGCATGCACGCACGTACGCACGCACGATGCGCAAAACTCCGCATTTGAACGGTCAATAGCAAATACTTAAACTAATAACTAAACAGTAGCTGATTCAGAAGCGCCAGATTGTCATAGCAAAGTCAGAATTACCTCCTCTCCTAGGTTCACGAAACGGTCGTCCATAAAATGCATTGCTGTTCTGTTGTAAGTAATCTTAATGCATCTACTTTCGGAAGGCCAAATAAAGTGCTTTTGCTTTCGCCTAGAAACACACAGCGTCTCTCTGACATGCTGCTTCAACACTAACTGCTGTTACTGAAACCACGCCTTCTTTCTTTGTGTGCACATTTGGGCGGCATTATGCAAATATTCCCACATAGTGACCTAGATATGTGGGGGCGTGTTAGAACGAGCCGTTTTAGGGGGGGCGTGGCAGAGTCTTAACTTTGATAAAGAATATCTCTTTGGTTTTGAGACTTTAGTCTTTGCAACTTCAGGGATCTTATCTATGCACAATCAGCTTGTAACACTCCAAGAGAAAGGAAAACTTGAAATCGCATCATATGACCCCTTTAAATGCAAAAAAGCTCACGTTTTGCCTTGCTTGTTTTTTAGGGATGCATCATTTGGCCAAAAAGATGTCATTGTATATCAGTGTTACTATAATGTAATAATAATAATTAGAATTATTTTTATTGTTACTAAATTAAAATATTAGACAAAATTCTAAAGGGTCGTAGGGCGACTCTGGAGCGAAGGTCTGGGACGAACGCTGGGCTCCTCTAATATTTCACTGTTAAATGAAATAGAAGAAGAAGAAGTAAATTTTACAGTACAAATATAAAATTACCATAATATTTATGGCTGTGTTAATTTCTTTATTTTCAAGCATTTAATTATCAAGCTTTTATTTTGGTTTAAAGCCGCAGGGATCCATTAAAGCTTCTCTTTTGTGCATAACAGCCGGTTTATACACATTTCTCATTACGAGTTTGTGAAAGTATTTGGCGCATGTTGCATTTCCAAATGCACGTTATACTGTAAGTGACTCAAACTCAGAGCAAATGCAGAGATGAGATCATTTGAAGCAGCATTTACTGTGAACTGAGACTCTGAAAACACTGGAGCGGTTTGTGTGTAAATGAACACAGTGCCGCGCTTCACTATGAAACACGCATCACATTTATTAATTTAATTAAATCACAGTCTTTGTGATTTGATCATCACAAGTCATGTCATAATTTCGGTTAATCATGCAGCCTTAATTGCTGCTAATTGTCTCAATCAAAATTTAATTTTGCACAGCTTAATGAGTGTCTGTGTTTTTATGTAGGTCCGTCGGTCCCCAAACACTCCCGTCCACCTCCACCTGTGCTCAGAAAGACACCGTCCACCTCACAGGTGAGTTATACCTGCTTATAAACCACCTTTATCATGAAGTTTGCCTATTAGAATGAGCGTTTAATGTTGATGATGATGGTGTGTGTGTGTGTTCAGGCCACGGTGGATGTTTTCAGAGCTCCTGACGCCTCCATTCCTTCTCTTCCTCCGAGGTACTGCAGCGTTTTTCCTCCAAAATCAGGTGTCTGTTTAGTTTTTTTCCCATCTCTCATTCTCTCTCTTTGTGTCTCAGACCCAGTGGCGGCAAACTCCTCCCACTCCGCCCTCCTCCAATCAAAGTGGCCAAACTTCCAGGCTCCTCCTCCTCCCCTGCTGTGACCAATCAGCTGCCAGGCAGCAGGGTGCCAAAGAGAGGCCCGCCCCCCCCCCCCCCCCCCCCCCCACCGA